ATTGGATTGGCCAGACAGATCTCCTGACCTTAATCCTATAAAGGATGTCTGGGATGCTCTTGGGAAAGAAATTTTACCTTGCCATCCCCCACCAAGAACCATATCGGAGATGAAAACTGCCTTGCTGTAAGAGTGAGATCGACTGCCACAGGGACTTCTCATTTGCCTCTTGTTCAGCAGGCTATCACTCCTTGTGACCTGTCTAGCAGTGAGAGGGAGCTATACCCCATATTAGACTCATTTTCAGTTCAATATCACAACATGGATTTTGCATATCCCTGCACTATGAGCTTTACTGATAAAAATTACTTTTGAATGGTACATCTCTCTCTCTCTCTGGTATAAAGGTATATTCATACGAAATTTTGTTAAAATCTGTCTATTAGTTTTCAAAAATTTGGCTTAATGTCCAAATGCTCTTAATTTTGCAAACATGTACGCATAAAAAGTGTTAGATCTTCTTGTAGTATAAAAGTACTAACAGTGGTTACTTTACTAGATTGTAATGTATTTTTATTAATTTCTATTAATTGCTTCCCAGTTCTGGTAGTTTCATCCAGTTATAACCAATTTCTGTTACTGGCAAGAAAAAGATTATTTTTTTGCTAGTGGAAATCCAATCCTTTTCTTTCTGTTATAATTCTCCTCTGCTTACTGTATGTTGAATTTCAAATGGATATGCATGTCAGCCTATGTCAAATTTTGCTGCTCCTATACATAAAGCATAGTTTTCTAATATTTTTTGACTTGACATCTTCTTTTCAAAGTGCTTTCTGCTTAGCCCTTTTAAGTTATTTCAACACCTACTGTCTTTTCAAAAATTGTATATTAGATTATCTTTTAATGTGATTCTGATTAAATACACACTAAAATTTTCAGGTGTTTGGTGCATTTTCACAGCATCAAATTATAATTGAAACTGAGATAAAATTTGGAAATAGAGTGGTAATGATAGAAGATTTCTCAAAGCACTTAAAATAATTAATCTGACAGACTATCAGCATACTGAAAGAACATGCTTTTTCCTCATATTGGGCATCACTATAAATACAGTCTTTTATTCATGCTTTTAGAATTTTAAATTGGTAGTTTGTAACTCTTATTTTATTATCCTTCTTTTGAATAAAAAATAAACGTTATGAGGAACATAAGCTCAGAAGAACATCTGTTAATTATCAACTGACATTATCCATTCCATGATTATTGGAAATATACAAGGACCCTAGTGATTCTGTAAGCAAGTGAATGTTTAAATATTAATTTAAAAATATTCAAGCATGTACTTATTGCCCACTTGCTCCTTAGTGACCCCTTGCTGTCCTTCAGATCAGCAACATCCCTAGATATCATCAGCGCCCACTTTAGGAAAACTATTGTGTAAAGCACTCTTGCATTAGCAGCAGATGCAACATGATACTCTTGCAAATGCTAGACAATATGATGTTAATTTCAATCACAGTATTATTCTTTTGATAAGATCATGTATACTTCCTTTGTCATATATTAGTTTGCCAGATCTCTGCACTTATCTATCTGCTAAATTTAATATGAGAGACTGGGTTTCAAAAGCTGGTTCAGACCAAACTAATAATTCATAAACTTAAACTTAGTTTTGTAAATAGAATTAAGAACATTCAAGGTGTGCCCATAAATTTCCAGGACTGAACTAATAACTCCAGAAAATATTATATGAAATACATACCCATTTGATATGTTTCAAAGTAACTCCCACCTGACGTACTTTTTTACTTGGCTGTATAAGTTTAAAGTCTGCTTTCGGAATGCTTATTAATGTAGATGTCACTGTTTTCATGATGGCTTCAACATGGTCAAATCTTGTTCCCTTCAGTTTTGGGGGAAAAAATTCTACTGGTGCTAAGTCTGGAGGATGCTGCATCTGCATGATCTCGGGCTGGGTCAGAAACCACTTCATAGGTAGCACAATGTGAAGCCGCACATTGTCATGCAAAAGCAGCCAACTCCCTTCTGTTGAAAACAAAGTCTTACTCTATGAACTCTTAGTCAAAATCTTGTAAGAACTTCTGTGTAAAACTTTCCAGTGACAATCTTGACAAGGGGAACAAATCATAATCATTAGTCCTTTGCTGTCAAAAAAAGCAATTAACGTTACCTTGATTTTTTTACTCTTGGAATCAAAATTTTTTCGATCTTGATGAGCTTGGAGATCATTGTTCGAAGTTCTATTGTTTGCTTGCAGGGTCATATTGGTAACACCAAGACGCATCTGCCCTTACTAACGAATCGAGGTTGCAGACCAACATCAGCATTGTCAATGAGTTCGCTGTGCGAGTCCATTCTGAATTGTTTTTGTTCTTATGATAAACAGCGAGGAACGAATCTGGAGCAAATCTTGCATTTTCTTAGGTCTTGTGTCAAAATTTGCCAAATCTCCTCCTTAAAAATGTTCAGGTCATTGGCAAGTACACGAGCAGTTAATTTATAACCTGAAGTCGCAAGCTCACAAACTTTCTCAGTTATTTGGCATGCACATGAAATGCGGCTGACTCCCAAATGGTGCTGAGTTCATTAGACATGTGCAGATAAATGACCTTCCAAATACAAGTATTACTGCATTCTGATGATTTACAGTTATGTCTGTCCTGGAAATTAATGGCCCTAACTTTTTTTTTGGAACAGTATGATAGTTCATTAAAATGGGTAGTCTGTAAATCAGAAGTCTGGAAAAATATCTAATATATTATCGATCAGTTTGTATTGAGTGTGGTCCAGAATTTATCAAGAGATACACTGGTGAGCAAAAATTAAGGACGAGACGGTTTTTTCAATATAACTTTGTACAAAAGCTTTCCAAATCAACACATTTAATACCGTAAGATCCCCAATACATAAGGACATGAGTAATGTAAGCAACACTTACTAAAAGAGAAATCAGAGGGATAAAAAGAAGCTTTATTGAAAAAGTAGCATGGAGCACAATGCGACTGAAGGCCGAAACATCCCTGTGATGGGTGTCCAGCAAGAAACATCCGGTCTTTAATAGGGGATATGATCTTCCCTGACTGCTAGGCAGGTTTCACAGCGTCTGCCCATGCTGAGAATGAGGGTGTCAATGAGTTGTTGAGGCATTGCTGCCCATTCGTCTTGCAGCGCCAATCAAAGCTCCGGAATCGTTACTGGTGGTAAGGTATGAGCTGCCAAGCGTCTGCCTAGAAAATCCCATACATGCTCGATGGGATTGAGATCCGGAGATCGTGCCAGCCAATCCATACGTTATATATCCTCACTCTCTAAGGGCTGTTCGGCAGCTACTGTGCGATGACATGGTGCATTGTCGTCCATGAAAAGGAACTGCGGACCCATACCGCCTCTAAAAAGATGCACATATGGAAGAAGAATCTCGTTACAATAACGGGTCCCGTTGACTGAACCTGCATCGAAGATGTGAAGGTCTGTACGACTACCAAGCATGATGCCTCCCCAAACGAGAACACCGCTACCTCCATACCTGTCCCTTTCAATGATGTTCGAGGGATGAATGCGGCTTCCCCGCTCTCTCCAGATGAGTATGCGATGAGAATCGCTACTCAGACTGAATCTGCTCTCATCTGTAAAGAGTACTCGGTCCCATTCATTGTCTCTCCAATGACGGTGTTCCCGGCACCCACAGAGAACGCCTTCTCCGATGGTCAGGCGTTAGAGGTACACACCGTACAGGGCGTCGTGCAGACCAACACCAATGCAGTCTTCTGGCCACAGTAAAACGCGATATCGGTCGTCTAGTCGCCTGTGTCGTGTGTCTAGCGATTTCTCCCGCTGTCTGCCGCCTGTTTCTTCTGGCCTGTAAGGCAATATACCGGTCATCTGCGGGTGGTTCCTCGTGGACGACCACTACTAAACCCCAGGATAGCTGTTCCTGTAGTTTGAAATTGTCTCCAAAGTCGTGAAATGATGCTGTGCGCAATTTCGAACTCTGCAGCCACACTTGTCACACTGCAACCTTCCTCCAACTTCCCAATGATTCGACGTCGGGTCAAAGCATCCAGATGTCGTCTAACATATTGATTATTCACCATTTCTCGCTGAGGCAACAACTGGGTGTGATTTTAACTGCTATACGGCGTGCAATCTCTTTGCCAGAAATACTGGTCTTACACCGACAACATGCTTTGTACTACTCAGACACTCCCCCATTACGTCTACTTGCATATCAGTGCATGTGCTACCGTACATCACCTTACTTAATCTCCTGATTGGTCTTTCTGTCCGCTCTGCCTCTTCATTCAGCTGATATGTTAATTTTTCGACTTCGTCCTTAATTTTTGCACACCAGTGTAGTCTTGCGGTTGACAAACTGAAGTATAAATCAGCTTCAAGATGCAGTAATGTGTTTCTCGATTTAAATTATATTGCTCTCATTTTAGAAAACATTGCTATTTGTGTAATGTTGTGTAACGTTGAAAATGGAAATAAAATTTTTATCGTATCATCATACGTAAATAAAGAAATATTGGTAACTGAAATATTCAGAAATTTTATTTATTTTATTTGTTTTGTTTAAATTTTGTTCAGAAATCTTGTTTATCGTCAAGAGATAAAGTTAACCAAATGACAAGCATTTTAATCAATTTGAAATCATTTCATTTGTAAGTGAGATTTAAGAAAGGGGGCAATAAAATATCAACATTTTTGCAATGTTGATAATTTAAGTAGGCTGCCCTAAATAATATCCATAAATATAAATGTCTTCATGGTAAATATGAGATAGTTTTTTCCCCATTGTGTGTGTGAAGAGAGAGAGATTTTTTGAATGTCTTAAAATTTATGTATGTGTAACTCCCTAAGTTTTGGGCTCATGGTAACAAATTGCACGTAACTGAAAGAAAGAAATAATGTTAGGTTAACCTAGGTCTTCAATGTGTCATATTCATTTCTGCTAATAATTACTATGTGATGTTAATTTATTGGTAATGATTCAGTGTAAAACACAAGATATTAACAATAGTAACTTTTTTTGGCAGGATTTGAGACTGGAGATGTCCTGTCTAGAGAAAAAATCTCACCACCACCTTGATACTGAAAAGAAAGTAGAAAATTCAAGACCCTCTCAAGAAAAAACTCTGCTTAAATGGAAAATAGCAAATAAGTATTCCATTGAAAATGCAGATACTTCTGAAGATGCACATATGGCTGGTAAGAATTTCATTGAAGGTGCTATGAACAGTATGGATTTTGAACCTCTTCCCAAATTAGTTTCAAAAGTTCCACTGGGGAAGCAGAAGTCTGGAAAATCAAAGATTGTAAATGTTCTTCAAATTTTCGGAAAGGTAGTGCAGTCAAAAAAATGGAAATTTAACAGCACTGATTCTGAATTAAGCAACTTTAACAAAATGGAAGCTGATCCAGTTGAGCAAGCAGATCCTGCTTGTTCTGAATCTATGTTTGATGCAGAAGAATCTTCCTCTAAAATTAATAATGGGAAAATTGACATGGATGCATCCAAAGTGCCAAACAATGTAGATGAAGGAAAACTGAAACGTCCAGAGAAACGAACTTTCTTTCGTTTCCGTACAAAAGATCACAATATAATTTTAAAAAAAGGAGTAGTAGTGTTTAAATGTCACATTTGTAGCAGTACATATCGACAGAAATTTAGTTTACATAGACATTTTTGTAGGTCTCATGTTAATAGCAAATATCTTTCACCTGCTGATATTGCTAACTGTAAAATTAATGTTCCTGATGAGCTTCACAAGCAGCAGGTTGTACGAAAAGATGAGAAATCTGGACAGGCAGAGAGCCGTAAAATGATGAAGAAGGACAATGCAATTGTTTTAGAAACCAATGAGAGTCGTGTCATGAAGGGACTATATAAGTGTCACGAGTGCATTGGTAAATTTTTTGACTTGGAATCAGAACTCAAATTGCATTTATCTTCTCATCCTGATGCCCAAAGAAAAAAATTCAGTTGCGATAAATGTAGTGCTGTATTTCTGAAAAAGCAAGTTCTTTCTAGGCATCTAGCTTCTCATCTTGGGAAAAATTCTGAAAATGTTTGCAAAAAATGTGGCCTTACTTTTCTTACTAAAGCTGAGTATTCCAAGCATACTGTGATGCACTCAACTGGTAAAAAATGTAAATACTGTTTAAAGGTTTTTTCTACTTGTGCAAACAGGAGACGACATGAAAGAATTCATGAAGGTTTGAAGAGTCACTCATGCATACACTGTGATATGCGTTTTTCACAAAATAAAGATTTGGATAGACATCTTAGGAAAAAGCATTTTGACTTGTGCAGTGTTTGCAATTTGTGTCCGAAAGCATTCTTAACCAAAAGTGATCTTAAAATGCATGTGGCAGAACGACATCCTGATGCTTCAGGAACAAAAAAGAGTTCAGATAGTGCCAAAAATGCAGGAAATGTTAAGATTATACAAGATGCTTTGCCTCCACCTGAAAGCAGGCCATGTCCTATATGTGATAAGATATTTCCCAATGTATATGCTATGTTAAAACATAAAAGTAAGTCCCATGCTTCTAAGAAGCGTAAAAGGCAAGTGAAATCCATTCGCAAGGATTCAACCCAAAAAAAGTATTTAACAGCTGCAATACAAGATAATGAGTTTTATTTTAATTTGTCATCAAAAATTGCAGATAATTTAATAAATCACGTGGATGGCAAAGCACCCCAACTATCTTTGAAAGGATATAATTTTAGTGATCAAATTGAATTGTTCAATTTTAATCCTGAGAGAAGTCGTTTGCCATGGTCAACTTATAATTTTCCTAATAATTTTGATGTTGATTATGCCATTCAAAATAAGGGTCAAGAAGTCAAATCCAAGACTTGTGATAATCTTTCTAGTCGTGATCGTTGTCTTTATGCTACTGGATTAAATAAGATCAGCCCTCCTGATTTAATTGCAAGTCCTGTTTTAAATGGAAATTATTCATCAGATTCTAGTATGGACCTTTCTGATGCAGATGGCTTTCAGACGGATCATGGGTATTCACATAGCACTGGAGATGTGAACTTTGAAGATCGACGAAAAAAGCTAATTGGTAGGGATGTTAAAAAGGTATATTTGTGCTATGTTTGCAAGGACTCTTTCCATTCCTTTGATAGTTTTGATGTTCACCGTATTAATAACCATCCAAATGTAGATTGCGCATTTATTGAGATTGAGGGGGAAAAAGAGTCACCGCCTGCAGTACCTGAGGAATTATGTTGGCAATATTTGAATCCAGATGGTATTTACTTCTCATGCAGTGTTCCTCCTGCAGTTTCTGAGAGCATTGAAGCCATACTGAAGTGCACTAAGTGTCACAGTGAATATAGAACTTCTCATGATTTACACTCACATATAATAGAATGTGGTGGAACTGATAATGCTCCAAAGTTCAGAAAGCCAATTCAGCAGAAGCGAATAAAAAGAACAATGAAGAACCGGTTGGATCTCACAATAAAACTACAACCACAGAAAAAAGTACCTGACAAAAGTCAATTTTATAAAAATAACCGCCGTTTGACCACCTCAATGACATGTAATAAAAATTATTTTATAACTACACCCAAGAAAATGGTTAAAAAAGCATATGTTTTAAAACGGAATAGCATTCCTATCAAACCCAAGTTTGAGTGCTTTACTTGTTGTCAAGAGTTTGCTACTGAAAGCAAGTTGAAAAATCATATGTGTCTTCCTACTTTTGAAAGAAAAAGGCAATCCAAGACTGCTAGTACCACTCTAAAAGTTGTTTCTGTAAGTGAATTTCACAAAACTGGAGGGGAATCTAATAAACGTTTGGATTCAGTATTCACGAGCTCCAAGGACCAGCAGCCCAAATCTGATAGTATAGCAGATTCTAATCCTTTAAATGAATCTTTAGTTTCATTTTCTCCTTTGAATAAATGTGTCTCTATGAAAAGCAGTAATGAAGTTTCCTTTCCAACTGGTATTTCTGAAAAAATCTCTCATGCATCTACCTCAAAGACTGAAGCTTTGAACTGCTCTTTAAATGATGAAAGGTCATCTTCAAAAAGTAATGCTGATCATGCTCAGGCTTTTGCATTGCATGATACTCCTAGTACAGAAAAAGCAGTTGATTTATGTATTAGACCAAAAGAACAACAGCAAATGTCTGCATTAGCTATAGCTATGCAAAGTGTCAATAATTATTCAGCTGAGAACCAATTAAAACGAAAGAAAAAGTCAACTGTTTCATCTTTGCATGAAACCGTTGAGAGATTGAAACGAAAGCAGAAAGCTGTTATAGATTCTGAAATGGCAAATAATGGCAATTCTTTATCTCCTGCAAAACCAGATGCAAATGCCAGTTTTCAAGCCGAAATTACAAAGATTTCTGAAACATCTCTGGGAAATTCAAACCAAGTTGTACTTTCTGAAACCACAAAAACCATTCCTTTTGTTGACCCTATAAATAAAGTTATTTCAACAGAATCATCTAATCAAGTGACAGCTTTAAATACCCTACAAGCTTTGTCTGGAGAAAGTGATGTCAATAACACATGTGATATGGAATTTCCAAAAGCATCAAAAGACTCAGAAGTGCATATGTCATCTGATACACTGCACAAAGAATATAAGATTTTAGAAGTTGCAGAAAATGAACTACAAAGTAAGAAGGAGGATTTACCTCCAGAGAAGGTCCCGAAATTGTTAATCAAGCTTTCTTCCCACAAAATTAGAAAGGGAAATGGAAATAAATCAAGTAGGAATTCCAAAGGAATTATATCTAGATCTTCAGAGAAGAAATTGCAAAGTGAAATAAACAACATACCAGAACATCATAATCTCATTCAAAATTCTGTTATCCCAAAAAATTCAGAAGCTCCAAAAACGGATTCATCTGATGAAGTCTCCACAAATACTGATGTGGGTAGAAACATGCTCAAAAATTCTTCAGAAGGCCAGCCAAATACTGAACATTTTGCCAGTGATAGTTTTACTGTAGGAAAAGTGCCTTTGTCTGAGGCAAGAAAATTACCAGACATAAGTGATACCATTGATACTATTTTAGCAATGCCAGATCTATCATCTGAAAAGCAAGCTGAAAAGAATGAAAATATGTTAACTATTATATGCCCTAATGTCAATGACTTTCCTTCAAACAAAGACTGTTCTGAACCCCGGAGATCTAGTGGATCTCATGAAAGACTTAGTCCATCTTTGGAGACACTCGTAGATTCAATTAAAATGAAACTTCAGTCTCAGGAACCAGAAGAATCTGCAGACAATGGTCCATCAAATGGTAACTTGAGTTTTACTGTCATTTTACCTAATTTATCAGACAAAAGATCTGAGATGAATCAGTGTGCTGCAAACACAAGTATTCTGCTGAATAATGAAACTGAGAATCATTCAGCTTCAAATAGTTTGGTTGTTGAAACATCCAAGAATGAGGCAGCACCTATTAGCAGTGCTTCTTCTTTCCATTCTTCATTATGCTTTAATCCAACATACATGACAGCATTTCCTCCAGCAGCCAAACTTGAAAGTTCTTTTCCTTATGCTGAAACAGAAATAAAATCTGGAGACTGCATAAATACTCAAAACGAAAAAATTCACCCTCATGTATTAAGTAGTTCTGAAAGTTCCCTTTCAGATGCAGAGACCAAAGAGAAGCATGGAAATAACTTAAGCAATTGCTCTGTAAGTTCAGTTGCAGAGGCAAAGACAGAAATGAAATCAAAAAGCAGCATAAGTAATACTTCTATGAGTGAGTCTTCTTCCAGTGTTTCACAGGTAGGAGTGAAAAATAATGCTTGTGAACTCGCTGTAAATAGTTCTTTAAATACTGTATCCGAAGCTGAAAGTGCAATAAATATTGATGTAAAAAAGAATGAGGATAAAAAGGAAAATTCAGCACCTCTGAAATCACAAACTTCTCAGATTTTGCTTAAGAAAAAAGGAAGAAGAAAGCTATGTTCTGAAAAGCGTACTATAGAGAGTGAATCAAGTGCATCTTTGCAAAAAAATCATAGCAGAGTACATTCATCTTCTGTGCATTTAGCTGAAACAGTTGCAAGTTCTTCTATATCAAATGATATTTCTAAAAGTGTAAAACCTTCACAAGAGGCTTCAGTACCTATTCTAGTGCCTACAAATGATATTACAAATGCTGCTAGCTCTGGTGAGTGTAGCAATATAAGTTTAACCAAGCAGGATTCAGCATCTGAGGTTATTCCAAACATGGATCATGTTAATAATTTTGCAGGTGCAGAATGCAAAACATCTGAAGAAAAGGCTTCTAAAACTCTTTCCACAACAACAAATTCAGTGCAAGAAAAGAATGAAACTAGTACCAAAGTTGTCAGCGAGGAATCGGAAGCATCTCAATCATTTACCAATAAATTAAAAAATAAGTTGCTTCTGGCACTTGCAGAACCAGAAGGAGACAAGAGACAAACCAAAAGGTCAAGTCCTCGCACAACTGCTTCTGAGGGCAGTCGAAAGAAAGTGAAACCTGGTACTCTTGAACCGGTAGGTTTAAGGTCAAAAGGGAATTCATTAGGAAATAAAACTACCTCCAAACCACTCTCTCCTCGAAAAACACGCCTGTCTGGTCCCCTAAAACTCACCAGTGAATTTGGTAAAAGTTTAGCAAATAAGATGAGAGAGAAGATGAAGCTGTCAGCTGAAAATGCTTCTTATAAAGATTCATGTGAAAATCAGCCAGGGCCAAGTCATCATACTGATATTCCTTCAAATGCTGGTAGTGCCTTATCTAATGGCAATTTGAATTTAGTACATCAACCAAGCTGTGAAAATGACGTAACTATTAAAAGTGAGTTTGAGAAGGAAGATTGCACAAAGAAACATTCTTGCCCTTATTGCATGTTAGAATTTGCATATCTGACAAATTTCCGGAGGCATATAAAAACGTGCAAAGAAAAAACTGAAAATATGGAAGCAGAAGCAACACCATCAGCTCATTCTTCTTTGCTGCAGTTCTTACCCAAGAAGGATGAAGTTGAAGAATCCATGCTCAATCTTTTACGTCACCAATCACGACAAACACAAATGATGAAAGAAGCTGAAAAAAGCAGTGGCAGTCAAGTGAAAGGCTTTCAGACTTATAGTTGCAAAGTGTGTAATCGTATTTATCTGTCTCTTTTCAAGCTGCTGCAGCATCAAGTTACTCATAAATTAGCCAACCCTGATTCAAGAGATGATGCAACAGAAAATGAATGCAAAGACCTGGAACCAAATATGGAGGAAAGTCCAGATTCAGACGAAGTAATGAACAATTCAGTGTGTGATGGAAACATGGATGTCAAGATACTTGCTCAAACTTCCCAAGATGGTCTGTCTTTCCCTGTTAAGGCTGAAACATCAGTACCCATCTCTGAAGTCAGCTTAAATGAGAGGATTCAGAATAGTGCATACACAAATGACTTAGATAAATGTCTTGATATTGCCAGTAAACAAAATGAAGTATGCAATGAAAGAAATATAGTAAATGCTTCACAAGAGTTGAACATTAAAGAAGTGATTTTAGATAATAAAGAAAAACAGTTAACAAGTGCACCTGATTGTATGAAAAGTGAGAGAGGTATGTCGTCAGAGATGTCTGAAAACAATCCAATGTCTGAATCAACTACAAAACAAGGCAGTTCAATTAATTCTTTGAAGAAACAAAATATATTGCAAAATGATACCAATCTGTTGGCCAAAGCAGATTCTGATGAAAAAAAAGCTATTCAGCAAATGGTTTTAAGTGGAAGTGCAGAAGGAGGATTACATACCACTGTGGCTAGTACAGCAATTCCACTTGAAATTAAGTCAAAGAAAAAGAGTGTATCAAAGAAGTTTCCTCCCAACAAAACTGCTGTGAATAAGACAGTTAAAAAGGAAAATGGTTCGAAGGATGATAAAAAAGTTATTTCATTAAAAGAGTCTCAGAGTAAAACAAATCATGTGCTCTCTAATAAATTAAAGACAATTAAAAAAGTATCTACAAAGCGTTTGAAAATTGAAAATAAGAAAATATTGTCAAAAGCAGTTAAAAATAGTGTTTCTCCCAAGATCTTGGATGTGCTTCCAGTAAAACAAAATTCTGTATGCAAGAGTGATACAAAACCTGTGGCCAGGAGAGGAAGGCCACCAAAATTGTCTGTAGAAAATGGGCTCAAATCCAGAGAAACCAAAAGTTCTGACTTAAAGAATGATAAAAGAATTAAACACTTACCTGCCCAGCCAAAATTGAAAACTCTTGGTAAATCTTTGAGGAAAAGTGCAGATCAGAAATCTGAACTTCCAGTCATTGTGAAACGCAGGGGCCGTCCTTCAGGGAAGTTAATTTCTGCAGGGAATTCATCTAAATTGCCACCGAGTAAAAAAGTAAAGTTATCCAAAGAGAAAAAAATAGAGAAATCACCTGGTACCTCTAAAAATTTACCATTGTCAGAAAGTGAAGAAACTGACTCAGAAGAAGAAGGCACATTTGCTGAAGCTGGCCCCTCAAGTCCTTATCCAGCAGTAGATTTTTGCAAAAACAAAGCACGTGACAAAAGATGTCCTATATGTAAGAAAAAGTTTCCTGCCCGTTTACTCAGGAATCGACATTTGCAGCTTGCTCATCGAACAAAACCTGATTCAATAAATTCTGAACTGGAATCTAATCTAGAAAGCAAGAAAAGTTATCACGTGACAAAAGTAAAAAACCGTCGTGCCTTTCAACGGCAGTGCAAAAAAGTGCAATTGCCAATCCCAAAACTGAAAAAAGTGACAAAAAGTTAGAAAAAAGGTCTTTAAAAAATATGTAAATTTTCGCATTCATTTCCTGTTATTCAGTGAACTGTCTGACATATAGTTTTAAAACTACAGAAGTCTTTCATTTTAATGTCATGAAAAATGTCAAAGTGTGTTCCTGTTGATTCATGTACATAAGTTGTCTATATATTTATGAAATTGAATGTGCCTTAGAAAAGGGTGCAATCATGTACTTCCATCAATCTGCGCTCTAATTTTTTATTTGTAAACCATCATAATTGAAGGAATAAATGCATTTTAGGATAATTATGCTCTTGTACTAATCCAACAGATAAGCTGACTGTTTTAAGAATTCATATTTTTTCTGTGAAGTTTAAAAAGCACACCATTAAATTTTTAATCAAATGTGTTGAGAAATTTCTTTTAACCAAAATGTTCATTTATTAAATTTGCCCTGTATATTTGATATCATTATCATAATTAAGTCTGCTTGTTAGAAATATCTTGGTGAGTATTTATCTGTATTAAGAAGGTAAGCTTAAAATTACAGTTCATTAAATTTTGTAATTTTTTGCCTTAAGGTATTTAAATTCTTCTGACTCTAGAGATGCCTGTGTGAAGGTTTAAGGAGTGCAATTTCTTTCTTCGCTAATCATACATACTAAATATTTTACTTTATGAAATTACTGAAGCATTAAAACATAAGAAAAAACATTGTTATGAAGTACAAAATGGAAACTAAAAAGTATTTAACATAGTTTAATCTGGAAAAGTCTTCAGAACTATTAGTGTACAATCATTACAAAATAGTGAATTATAGTAATTTTAAAATTTATTAATTTGAAGTGCTATTTTTAAATATAAATTTAACATTCAGGAAAATTTAAGAAATGGTTTTCATATTTTTTTTTTTTTTTAATTTTAATATTGGGGAGGGTGATTCACTAATAGGACCTAAATGTCCTAAATAGTCATCAGTTCTATGAAAGTGTTAATGACATTTCATGCAAAACTTTTAAATTTCATTCCCTCCCCCTTGACTGAATGATAGAATCCTTGAGTAAAATACTCATTTTATGCAATTTTGTTACCCTTTATCAGGTAAATTCCTTTTCTAAGCTTAACTTTGATTCTGTATAACATGTAGAAAATATAAGCGATACTGGAATAGGAAAATTTTAAGGAATAATATCAGCAGAAACAGTTGTTTTGAGGTATATTGACTGCTGTTTAATGTTCCCATTTTTTTAAATATTTAAAATTGCCTGGCAAACAACAGAAATGCTGGTCACTGTTCAAACTTTTTCAAAACAGGCTAATTCCTTGAAGAATGAGCAGCTTTTTCTGTGTGCAAGGTTTAATATCTACCAAGCGTAAAGGTTTCTAAACCTTCAGTGTATTACATCTTATGAGGATAATAATGTTGTTTATTCGAAAATTAAATATCGCTCATATCTGACCAGATATTATAAAGAAAAGAGCTTGTTTTAAACAGGTATCACGTGGGGTGCACTTAAAATGGAACAAAGTTGCTTCTAATTTCAGGTTGGATTTTGATTTAGAACAAAAAAAGCATTAGCACACGTCAGGAACAAAATTTCATTATGATTTTTGGTCATAATTCCAGTGAAAATTATATTTACAATCTTTTAAAACTCAGTGCATTGTAGATAAGACCTTTATGAATGGAAAAGATGGAACTTGCCTGATATTCACAAATAAATCGAAGAGAAATCATTCTCATTTGATATAAAATCATTACTCAGCAAAGATAGCAGAATCTGATTGCTATCTAATGCTCAGATTTTAGGAGACCGGCTCGGAAAGGCCCCGATGACTGGTAGCTTTGTTTGCCAGGTAATCCATTCAGTTTTGAACAAAAAGGAAGCAACTTACTGGAACAAACAGTTTTGAACAAAAAAGAAGAAAAAAAAAATTAAATACTTTGAATTGATAATTAATTTTGATTTAATTCATAAAAAATCAAGTCTCTTTAATATGTCCCATATTTCATACTGAGTCAAATTGAAATTTTAACTGACAAAAGAAAAGTATCCAATAAATTTAAAACAAAACACACTTTTTCTTCATAGCTTGTTTCTCGCTGCATAAAATTTTGATATATTTTGTACATAATATAAATTATAATTTTTATTTTTAATGTCACTCATGGAAAAGTTGCTATCTAAGTTGAGGGAGGTGGGATTGAAATTTTTAAAATAAGTCAAAATGTTTTTAAATAGCTAAATTCTTTGGAAGAAATAAACTTGTCTTAGATTAGAGCTATCTTCTTTTCAAATCTTTCTTGGTATGGTGAACCTTTCAAAAATTGTATTAAAAATAAGTTAATAAGTTTAAAAAAGAGTAGATACAAGAGAAAATATTTTCATGAATTTAAAGATGTTTCACAAAACTCGTTTAGGTGGTTAGGAAATTTTTGTTTCCTGTAGAACATCCTCTCCTTGTGAAGTATAAATTATGTGTTATGCTTTAAATACATTTGAGAATGTAATTCTGAAAAGAATCATGAAATGAATGTCAGATTAAGCAAAATGGAACCTTAAGTTTGATAATATAAATGCACTTTAAGGAAATCTGAAAGTCATTCTGTTTCAGGCAGAATAGTACAGATTATTTTGAATCTTAAAAAATAAAAACTTATTTCAAATTTTCTTAAAATGCATTAAGCTCTTTTATGCAACCACTCTTGAAAAAGACCAAATTGCACATGATTTTAAAGATAACTACTTATTTTCGCCTTTGAATATTTTTTATTAATATTTTTATTAAGATGAAATGACAAAAAGTACAGTTTTTAGTTTTTACAACTTTTTTTCAATCAGCTATGCCTAACAAATATTGATGATAAAAATAATTGATGTCGGCTGTATTTTACATCTTTTTTGTTTGTTTAGTAGAACTACCATATTTCTTGAAAGCAAAATCTAGGGGGGAAAAAACAGTGTTTAAAAAAAGATGAAAAATGCTTGGTAAAAAAACTTTTTATTTTAAGAGAACATTCCATGGTTGTTATTCCATATGGACAACTATGGCATTTATTATATTAGGACATGAGTTTCACATGTCCTGATGATACAGTTTTCTGTCTTTTGGGTCTCACAAAAGGGTATTATTGGTTAGCGACGCTGGCTATCGTAACTCCGGGATTTGAATCAGGGCCTCGGAGACGGTTTGCATATTTGTAAGTGTATAGTGACTGTGCGGCATGGGGACACTTAATATGCTAGCGATCTGAAAGTCTCATATTAACTGAAATGAACTTGCCGTCCATTGTATGTTTACGAACTGCACGACTGGGAAACTTTTGCCAAAGCATATTAGTTATGTTTTCTTTGGCAGAATGTGATATTGCCCTATCTTGCCGGAACGTTAGCGTCCGGCGATCTATTGCATATGCACAAGTTGTTCACACAAGCAAGAAAGTTCTGTAACATCTGTATGCCACTCAGACGATATAGTGGTTAGTCACACTGACTGCTGTATTGAAGAGCCCATATTCGAATCCCGGAGAACGCATGGATGTAAGCGTATATTGTTTGTGCGACTGTGGGGACTCAAAATACACGTCGAGCCGAATTCGTGACAAGTGGTTGGAGTACAGGAAGAGGGATGGGTCCTGCGGTGTTCTCTTTAGGAAATCCGTCCGAACCAGACGCTTAGCAATTAGCAAGACCTGGCGTATACCTAAATTAGATGCACATGTATGGGTCTTGCTTCAAAACCTATATCTGTAACATCTGTACGACATAGTGGGCTTGCATTGTCGGTAGGCGCCACCGCAAGTCGATCGACCGTTGACAATCATATCAGTTTTCATCAATAATTGTGAACCTGTAAAATAATTTGAAAAAAAAATTAAAGTAGATGTAATTAGATGTATGTTTAACATTACAATTTTTACAATGAAATTTAGTGTACTGCTTATTGAATATAGCAGGAATCGAATACCGCTCTGTACGTAACTACATTTGCAATTGCGTTTTGATTAATTCTGATAGGTCACGAACTGCCCTCATTATCATATCTCGGAATAAAATGCTTAGAACGTAGCTGACAATTTATAAATAACGCGTTGATGATCATCAGTATAATTTTAGTATTTTATATTAGTTGTAGTAGTTATTAGTTTATTTTTGCAATATAAAGTCAAAAATGTACAATTCAGTAGTTTTAAAGAAGTAAGTGTTATTTACATATATAAGTATATAGCAGATCGTCTAGTATTTGAAATGTCAACAATTAAAATAGACGTACCAATTAAAAATAGTTTTAGTTTCATGTTCATTATTAAAAAAATAGAGGCAATTATAGACGTACCAATTAAAAATAGTTGCTATATGCAATTTTTAAAAATGCTAAATGTAAAGATTTTGGATAGCAAAAAGCAAATTTTCGGACAAACATTTGTTAAAATTAAAAAATTTTGATAAGGAGCAAAATAACACTGTTTCGCCAGATATATTTATTTTAAAACAGTTTAATTGCTTAGATACGTCAATTTAGCGAATTATTTCTAATAATATTGCTTTTTAAATTAGTCGAATGGTTTCAAATATTTCTACCTTAGTCCATATTGGCAATTTATACATGTATGTTTATCTGTCTTTAATAAACTGATGTGTAACAGATGGAAAGCAAATATGTCGTTAATCAATAGTACTAAATGGATTGATAATGCAAATTAAAACTCTTCATGCAGCTGTTCGTTTATATATATTTTCTGATAATCGAGCATTTGCGAGCTTGGAAAAAAAGTGTCTTCAAAATCGCAAAATAGTACTTCATCAGCAAACAACGTCATTTTAAAATATTTTAACTGCCTGTCTACAGTTTTTTAGCAGTTAATTTGGGTCATTACGTATGCACAGATTGATGCATATTTTTTTTTTTTTTTTTTTTTCAGAAATATTGTAATTTTAGTGTTCAAATACCTTCCTTGTAAACTGCTCGCTTGCACTGCTCACTGACTTTTGTAACCTTGGCTTGTGCTTTTACTTCCCGCGCAGAGTAGAGTGCTAAATTGGTTACTTGTAAAGAAGCATTCATGATTACCTAAATAATGCTCTCTTTTTAGATCTGTCTCCATAAGAAGAAAATTTCTCATATGGCAAGTCCTTTAAGAGATTTACTAAGGAACTGCTAAGAGCAGGGAAAAACATCTGCTAAAAGCCAGTATATCAACGAAGCATGAAACTTCAAATAATAAACTGCGCACCTGCTTTATTTCTAATCTATGCATCTAAATTTTTGCAGCACAATGCTATATATTTTTGCCCTGTAAGAAATTTTTAAGGGAATCCTTGTCAAAATAGCTAGAAGACTTCAAAAATGTGTATAATAGCTAATGAAAATGACTAATAATTTTCTGTTAAAAATTAATCACA